TTTACGACGGAAAAGTTGGTTGAAGTTGAACATTTACGTTTCCGTTGGTCCGTTTTTAACAAGAGTGAGGTTATGTTTGGTATGTTAACAGCGTTCGCCTATTCGTTCTTCACGGCAATAATCAGATAGCAATGTATGTTCTTACTTTCGTACCATTTTCACATACTGAAAATCACGGAGGGTACACTACAAAATAAAGTTTAGGTTATGGTTATACTTGCAAATGTACAATGTGGACGGATTGCTATGAACCTTAACAAAACGTACTATCCGTTTGACGGATCAACGCAACGGATGAACGGAGAGCTATGAACCCACCTGTACGGTTTGAAAATTTACTGTGTTCTGATTGGATAACGGATAAACGGAAACGTATGAACGGAGAGCTATGAACCCACCTTATGTTTGGCATCTTGTCTTCAATGGCGGTCGTGAACGTTTCGCCAAAGATCATAGTGTAGTATGATCTTTGGTTTCGCTCCATAAATGTTTGTTGTTATGTATTTTGTGTTATTTAATGCAGGTAGTAATTTTTGCATTTCTTTATATCGTATTTGTGTTTTGTTTGCCGCATTTTATATTTTTTGTGTGTTTCAATATTTGTTTTTGAAATTTACTTGGTTTAACCGCAATGCAATCATAAGTGTGATACCGTTATGCTATATGTTTACGTTTTTGGTGTAATGTTTGCTTAATTTATGTTTATTGATGTTGATTACTTGGTCTTGTCCCTGAAGTTACATTCATGTAAGTTTTCATTTTATTTTAATATGTTGAAATTGCTGATTCGTTTGATGTATGTACTGACTTGTTGTTTGTTACTAACAATTTTCTCCGTGAATGAAGCAGTCACGGGAGGTGGAAAAAGAAACTGTAGTCTATAATTTTGTGTTAGGGCACCTAATTCCGTGCACTGTCTTCGACATCCAACTGTAGGTTCGAAACCCCGAAACCAGGGGCGGACTACCCATCGTGCAGGAGCGAGATTACGCTAATCAAAGCTCTTCAGTTTAGAATCTATGTGTGTTAAAATGAGTGGCGATTCAATAATCCCCACATATTTTGTTTTTAGTCAAATCTGCCTACAAGGCCATGTAATTTTCCATCTTGCTTTCAACAAAAGGACTTTATTGCACCAAAGATGAGTCACATCCTGTGTATTTCACCCTTTCTCGGAATCTTGGTACCTGCTGCTACCTGACCCATTGTCCCCAAAAACTTGCTTTAACCTTGAGTGTAACCAACATTGTGTATATGCATTTACTATCTTTGTTAACTACTGCTTAAACTTTTACAAAATATTTTGTTAATTAACTTTTGGACTGTTTTAATCAAACTGCAAAGGTTTTTCTTACGTCGTACTCTTTTTACCCTTGGCAGTGACTTTTGCGAGAGTACGACACCTTTTGGCTTTGTTTGTTTTGTTTATATTAATTTACATGAACTAAATTTCCTGGTTTTCACAATCATGATAATTACGATCATTATTAAACAAACTTTTTTTACAATTTCAGTGTTTTATTTAACGTTCCTTCCCTACTGTGCTTCAGGTCAAAGCGTTATCTATAACTAACGTAAGGGGGCCCTGCCTTAGATGTTTTATCACGTGCCACTTTTCAAATTTAAGCGGGATCTTGTTTAGTTTTAGAGGGAATAGTAATTCGGGTGGCCATTTTTAAACGTTGCCGGGTTTATTTTATTTCCGTGTTCTTGTAGTGTGAAATTAGCGTAGACCCTGGGGGTTAAGTACACTACAACGTGATCCTAGGAATCACGATCTTGAAATCATGATAGCGAAGTAGCCGAAAGAAAGCGCCTATCCCTATGATAGGGACTTTATGGAACTACGCGATCGACGACACGTAAGATCCTCAATTAAAGGAAATAGGCTCGAGTTTCCAGCCCTGAGCCTTGTATATACGACGGTGCTGTCGGGTATACTTTTAAAAAAGTACACCTTACTTCGCGATCATATTTTAAAGATCGTGATTCGTAGGATCCACAGAGTTGTATAAGTATACATATACAACTCTGTGGGTTTTGATCATTGAAAGAAAGCGCCTCTTATCTTTTCATTTAATTTAAATTTTTATGTTGGCAACACCTTTTGAAATTTTTTTGGAATCAAAAATTCAAGTCGTCGTGCAGCAAAAATTGTTCCATTTTCGACTGCCATATAATAAATGTACTAAGCTAAACGATACAAAAATTCTGTAACTTCGCATTTATAGTATCAAATTAAATATAACCTAAACGTTGAATATGACAGCCAACCCTAACTATAAGGTAAGAAACCAAAGTTATTTTACACAGCTTGTACATTTCATCTAAACACAGCCGTCCGAAAGCAAGAGGGAGGAGTTCAGAAAGTATTTAGAAAAGACTGGCGTCATGGACGCTTTAACAAAAGTATTAGTTTCGTTGTACGAAGAACCAGATAAACCCGATAATGCAGTAGAGTATCCTTTATATCTTTATAATGAGATTTCCTTAAGTATTGAGTTATACCCTTAACTATAGTAGATATATATGTAACAAATTGTCAAATCAGATATGTGGAGAAACATTGACCGATATACGAGCAAACTTACAAGAAGCTTTAACTAAAATTTCAGACTTAGAAAAGGAGAATGCGGCAATGAAGGTAGAACCGGAAGGGCCTTCCGAAGAAGCCGACGATGTACCTGCAGATTAAATCTGATATTATTATGTTAAAATTTCATAAAAAGTGTACTTTCCCTTGTAACTTAATAAAATGTTAACAATTTAGCATCTTTTTATTAATATTTCTTACCATTGTATTATGTCTTGTTGCCCTAGAAACATACCCATTGCATGTTCTCTTACTAGTTTGTCATCCCCTGCGGTGTTATAAGCCATAATCTTTCGCACTTTCCCTTGACTCTATCATCTGTTGCATTCATTATCTGCTATAGTATACCTTATCAAAAGTGAGGAACATTCGCTAAATGACCTATAGAGGGGTCAGCATCTCTCCTCTTTAAAAACAGTTATTATATATAATTGTGACTATCGAATAGTATGCATGTATCTCCGCCCAACAGTATTTGAATACAACATAGTACAAGTAATATTTAAAACAGTATTTCTGTTAATTACACAATTATCTTCAATTAGCTATACATATATGAAAACAACGCAATAAGCTAATTACATTAAATAATTTAGTATTTTTAAATGAGAAACAAAACTCTTCAAAATCTCGAGTTAGTTGAGTGTTAAGAGCAGGTATGTGCGGAAACAAAATTTTATTTATTTTTTGCTGCTTGACGACGTTTAACATCCCAATTAAAGACTCTTGCCATATTCACTTCGGTTGTAGTGCACTGATCCCTGTTAAAATAAGTTTTTTTACTAATTCCCTTAGATAACTGTAAAATATTGTACCTTAGAAAATCGACATCTTGCTCGACCTGTTCTAAACTATTGGTTGCAGTCGCTATGTTTTTAGTTAATAATGTTTCTGCATCATCTAAACTATATTCTAACATCACATTTGCACCGAGCCATAAACACACTGTATTCGTTGGTGTAACAACTGCCTTAGCGAAAACTTGGTCACTCAACAAGAATTCAGTTTCAAACTCTTCTGTTTCATGTCTCAGTTTCTCGATCATATTTAGGGAACGTTTCAAATCTGGTATTTGAGATTGTAGTCGTCTTTTCTTTGCCAGCAAGTGAAATTCCATATACTTATATTTACAATGCAATTCGTCCAACCGCTTTAGCACCTTTTCAGCGTTTCCTCCATTTTCTGATTTCCCCATGTACATATCTACATCATCCTGTAGAAAATCATAGATGAGCTACATACATTTTTTAACGATTTAAAAAGATTTACCACAAACTCTGCTTCCGGAATTCCGGCATTTGATTTTTTTCCATCATTTATATTGTCACCTTCCATTTCTAAATCTTTAGAAATATACTTTCAGTTAACTTAAAAAGATTATAAAATATACAAAATTATCTCATTTGTGTGTGGGTTAACCTATTTCAGTTTCTCATAAGGATATTTCCGATTTTGTATGATTCTGTTGACAGATGACAGAAACGTTCTTCTGTATGAATGTGTCTACCATAACGCTACTACATTTTAAACGCTAGTTGATCACACGGTCCGTATACTAGGCGCTTTTTTTCGGCTACTTCGCGATCATGATTTCAAGATCGTGATTCGTAGGATCACGTTTTACGAAAGAACGTGCGAATTTAAATCAACGTATGATTAAGTTTACGTAGTACACATTTGCATTCGAATTACGTATTTTTTGTTTAGATTATGACAACAATTTAAATACAAGTGGAAGTACTTTGCACGATTATGCTCTTCAGTTACAAATATTGACTAACCTAACAAATGAGCAAAAATATCTTTGCATTTATAGGTTAGGAATTCGTGATCAGTAAACAAATCATAAAACTTGTATGTTCAGTTTGTTCACGATTTTAGCAATCATGATCATAAGATCACACTTCGAAAGAACGTGATTAGACAATCCAAACCCGTTTGGATCATCGAAAGAAAACGCCTACTAAGCGGTTGCCTCACTTCCAAACAACCAATAAAACGCGCTGCTTCAGCCCGCAGTAAGCACCCCCCACCACACAATTCTCATGTACTACATGCATTTGGTAATAATTCTAATAAGAGTTAATTTTTGCATATTTGTATTTGTTATTGTAATGATATTTTAAGCGATAATCATGAGTAGTCTATTTCTTTCACATTTCCACAGGGACAGGTGCATATGTATTTACGATCGTCGACGACCAACAGCGCGCGTTTGTATAGCAGAAGTCCCTTACAAGTTACGCAGACGCGCCGCTCCGTGTATAGGCGTCCATATAACGCAGTGTTTCGCAACCAGCGGCGACACTTTGCAGTGCTTTAAAAACGTCGGGTGAGAAGGGGCTCTATGAAGTGCTATAAGATCCTAAATAGTAAACAACCATTAGAAGTGAAGAAACAATATAAATATTAATAAATATTTTTTTAATTTACGTCCAATATATAAATTACAATCTTAAATAGTACTTGGAAAATGTAAATTTCACAGCACGGCACAAATCCTACCTATATATTTCCACATGGCTACAAATGTATCACATATTACATAAATACAACGTTATCAAGGGGAATTGATTAAATTGGCTGGAATTACCTCGATTTACATTAGGCGTTTGAAATTATTTCAAAAAATCCATTATTTCATCTTTCGATAATGATATACTACCACTTTGTGTATTCTTTGAAGTGAATGAAGGCTTCATAACATTTTGTGTTGTGTATAAATTTGGAGAATGAAATGAAGGCTGAAAATTTTGACTTGGAAAACTTGCCATGGTAGGCGCTTTATTCATTTTGGACAATCCAAATTGATCATTATGTGAATTGCTAGAATTTGCGGATGCTGAATGACTTAATTGAAATGCTTGAAAATTTGAACTAGCTTGGGAAGTATGATTTGATGAACTTGTGAAGGTGTTGGATGTACGTGATGATGCGCTAGGATTATACCATGGCGGTGGGGCTATTGGTGATAATGTGTTGGTTAAATTTACAGGTTGCACTTGGGATGTATTTGTAGTAATTGGTATGGGATCGAGCTTCGTTTGATTCTGTAAAATTTTAACGGTGTCTTGTTGATTCAGAATTCTCTGCTTTTCTTGTAAGGTAAGAGCAGATGCAGACTTGCTTTGATTATTAGGTGCCGGTGGTGGAATGTTATCAAGGCCAAAATCAGTAAAGATTGTTTCCAAAGCTGTAGATTTAGGAACAATCGTTGGCATGCTATTTTCAAGTATTTTTTGATGTTCTTGTACAGTGTTGAGTTGCTCCAATTTGGTGCGATGCTCAGATTCAACGAGTTGAAACATCTGTGTGACTAAAGCGACCAAAGCATTAAATTGTTGTAGTGTCAACCCATTTTCGATGCATAATGGAATAAGAAAAGGAAGAACACGGGTAGCCATGATCTCTTTTGTTATACCTAATTTTTTGTGAGTCATCGCTAATTTGTATATTCCCAATATTCCCATAATAACTGCCGGTTCACGGGAGGGAATTTGTGGTAGGAATGGTAAAACTTCATCTAAGACAAGCCACTTGTCCAGATGCTCAAGCAGTCGCCCAATACACAATAAACAATTTACACGAACAGATAATGTCGACGTGGATAGGCACAATTTCTTTATACGAGGTAATACACTGTTTTTCACATTGCCGTGGTCTAATAGTCCAGCAAATGTCGGCAACACCGATAAACACAGCTCGTGTATCTGCGGTGTATCTGAGTCTAATCCTCTGTATAGCATTGGCAACACGTGTTGCTGAATGTCAGTTGCTGGTGTCAATTTTAAGAGGAGTTCCATACGTTGCAGAAAGATCAGTAATATCTAAAAGCAAACATAAGATATCAAGATTGGCTTTGAATAATGTGATTCAAAACAAATGCGTAATGTTAACAAATCACTTAAAGTAGCATTAATGGCACATGTTCAAGGGGCAATATCTTGTAAGAAATTTTATAAAATAGGTAAGTATCAAAAAATTATTATTATTGTTAGTGTACTAAAAATTGTTTGAATTTAGGTACGAAGATTTAATACAGAGCAAGATGCACTTCCATATAAAGTGCATTAATACGTATCTAGACATCTTAAGCGATCTCAACGTTAAGTGCAAAAATCGATCAGTGGAGTTAAAATTTTTCATAATATTTGTGGAATACCTAGTCGCACAGACTGCACGTAACATCCTTAAATGTGGATACGCCGCTTTACGTTATGCTTATCGTGAGTAGCAAAATTACACTGATCACAAATCAAATTTTTGAGAAGGTTAATAGGTGACGCTTTACGCGAACGCTATTTATTGTGGCGTAATTACACTGATACGATAGCAGTGATAGAAATTTATTTAAAGCGGAGTGTGTAATTGCACTGTTCACTAACACTGGGCGATTGCAAGTTTCAACTAATTGATTAATTTAAAAGAATAATCAAACCCGATTATCGATTTTATCTTTTGATTATAATCTGTTCATCGTCCAACGCTACTGTTCACAATAAAAAACTTTGGAAATATAATGCGTTATACGACGATTTCTTAAATTATCCTTATTTTTGGTTGCATAATTGCACTTATCACATTTCCAACTCTTGAAAGTAACGTGATAATTACAATGACAATGAAATTTTGGCAATTGTAGATAAACAAAATGGCGATCTTCTCCCACCAATACTAATTACAATGTGCTCCCACCAGAATGAATAAACGAACGACATCTTGCGGATTGAGCGTCAACACGACCTCTCAATTTTGTACAGCTTAACCTCAAACGTGTCCAGTAGTAGTGGATAATAACAAAAAAGCTTGTGAGTGTAATCCTGCATGACGGTGCAAATTTGTTATTTTTCGATAATGATTCACGTCTATGCGTTCCGTCTGCACTCTCTCATGAGATGGACTATAATTTAAAAAAACGCAACACTTTTTCTAGTGCTCCAATAAACAAAAGCTTTATAGCAAAAAGAGTAATCAGGATCAGAACGCATAAACGAACGCACCTCAAAATGTTGGTTGATTGCTTAATCATTGAGGGCCATTTTAAGGTTTCCACATATAGCATAGCATTAGCTGTGGGCCACATTATTCAATCATGCTCAAGAAAATGCATAGTGTGTGATGTGTCCTATTTTGGTCGAGACTGCACTAAATATCTCAGCTGTTTTTAAAGATAGAGACCCAGTACTACTTTTTTGTGAAACGTACCACAAACAGAATCAATCCAATTACGTTGTTTCTAAAATACAGGGTGAAAACAAAAACTTTAACTTTTATATTTATATCCTACCCATGTAGGATAGAAAAAAGTTAAAAACTGCCTATTTTAGATATTTTTACGTAAAATCCAGTGGCGTAGTAAAAAAAATGTTTCGACCACCATTTTTGAGATTTGACCCAGAGTTGCCTTTTAAATGCAACACCTTTTATATCTCAACGTCAATTTTTAGTGCACTTTCAAAAAATAAGAACATAAGGGCTATTAAACCGAAAACACAAATGTGCAAGTCCACTCTTCGACTCTAGACCACAACCGGCTTACGAATTTTTTTGCATTCTTTCTCCTGATTACTTTGATGAAAATCCTATATTTTTACATTTTTTATGCCTATATAAATATCAATTTTTTTTCAAAATTCCGTCAGTCATTTATATTGATTGCTATCGGCTGCCTTAGTTACCATGGATGCAATAAACAAAACAAAATCTCCATGAATCCATTGCCTATTTAAATACAGTAAAAAAAAAAGGCTTTTATAAATTTTCATGGGCAAAATTTACTAGACCACTGGATTCTACGTAAAAATATCTAAAATAGGCAGTTTTTACTTTGGTTCTATCTTACAATGGTAGTCAAATATGATAACATCCTAAAAATCAAACTTTTCATTTTCACCCTGTATCTCAGAAACAAACGTACCGTACAGCAGTTATAAATTAGCAAGCGACGGCGCTAGTCGAAGTTCCAATCGGCCGCACGAAACCTGCAAAACAATAAACAATGGCATAACATTATTTAATGCATCAATACCGATATCATTAGTATCCCACATCTACAACAACGGAGTGGATTTTTGATCCGCCACTGGAGAAATGCAAATATGGCGCCGCTTGCCGACCACTGCGCATACAAACCGCTCGCGAACTCATAACGGCTGTACTGTAGCTAGCTAGATTCTGTTTACGTATCAAGTTTCTTAAAAAAATGGCACAGGGTCGCGAAAACAGCAAGTCTCCATATCTAAAAGCGGATGAGATACAACGCAGTCTCAACCAAAATTAAATTTGATAATTTACAAACATCGTGACAGTCAGCAGAGGTGGGCCCATCGACATATTAATATATAGATGGACTGCGCGATTCCGTTTTTAAATAAATTATGTCACCTACTGCTTCTACATGTACTGACTTTACTACTGTTTAAAGTCCCTAGATTACTAAAGTAACGCGATTCGTTAGGCCAGTGTATTAGACAAAAACAAACTGCTAATTGAGCAAAAATGGCCGTTTGACACCTACTGTCAGGTTTGACATTTGTTGTTTTGTATTATAATAGTTGTGTGTACATTAAGGAGAGTACTGATGTAACCATTAATTCAAAAAAAAAATATTACTCAGAAGTGAAGACAATTTTTCGAAAACTTTTAATGAAGATCAATTAAAATATTTAGAATTGGGTACACACAAGGGTTTTATGTGGAGTGGTGAAACGATTGAAAAAGCGATGCAACTATATTTATCTTGTGATTTTTAAATATTAATCGATATTAATATTAAATTTTTTTAAATATTAATATTATATTAAACGATACGCTCACAAAACTGGCGCTATCCAAAAGTATCCGCACAATCCAAGAGCGACTAGAAAAACCAATAGAAAAGCATACTTTCCAACTGTTGTTCAATTTCAAATTTCGCGGTTCCCAAACTGAGCCAAAATGGCTGCTATTCGCGTTACTTTAGTGATCTAGGGACTTTACTACTGCTTAAAGTTCCTGGATTACTAAAGTAACGCGAATAGCAGCCATTTTGGCTCAGTTTGGTAACCGCGAAATTTGAAATTGAACAACAGTTGGAAAGTATGTATAAAGTATGTATTTTGTATAATTTAATTTGTATAAATCCCTAAAGCGCATCTAAAAAAGGTCAACTGTGCAAAATTTGAACTAAATAGGTTCAAGCGTTTGGCACAGACAGAGGGGGGGGGGGGGGGCCCCCAAGGGGTCATTGGATTTGACC